ACGGACTGCTACCTCGCACTCTTGGGCCTTGGTCGCACCCCCCCTGACTAGCGCTCGCTGGCTCACACCGTTGGTCCACAGTTGTTTGACATGTCTGCACTAGAGTTAGACCATGCTTTGTGATCTGTCTCTGTGATGTATGATGATGACTCTAGTGTTGAGCATTCTGATAATAACCCTTGTTTGTCTAGCTTAGGTGCTGTAGAGGTTGCTAGTGCTTTCCCTATTATGTGATGCTATCATTTGCATTCACGTCTGTCTGCCTCCCATCATATGTTCGTGCGTTGAATGCGTGGTGTGAGCGTGTGCAAGACTTTGTGTTTGGTGTGGTTTTGGATTCTCTGATTGTGTGTGGATTTCATTTGACTTGGGCAGATATTTGAAATGAGTTCTCTGCTCGAGAGCTTTCCGACGAACCAAGGATCGTCGCGATCGGAGCAAGAATGAGAAAGTTGTGTTCGTTCGAAGTTTTGATTGTGATGCCGCGACTATGGGAATTTGCGGGTTGACTCAATATGGGGTATAGACTTTTAGGGGTTGGGAAATTCGTCCCCATCACTGTAGATGCTGCCAAGTGGTTGGGAGAAGCCAAACCAGGTTGGCAAGTGTGGCCAAGTTGGGGTGAGGTGGATTGTGGAGGTTGGGAAAATGACAAGGTTGCAAGTTGGGTACATGTAGAGAAGGGATTTGTATGGCATAAGGTTTCCTTGGTTGAGGACTCCTTGAGAAACTTCCCTCTCGTCCTCCTCTTCTCTCCTACCTGGTTGAGTGCTACTCTAACTTTCTTGTGTGGAACTTGTGAGACCATTGTGATTGGGTTAAGTTTCTACGACAGCATACCCCCTAGTGCCCCAAAATTCATATCTCAAGTTATTCTCCATATTTTGATACGATTCAAATTGGGAAAGATAGCCACGGTCAAGGGCTAAAACATACTTGAGTCTGAAAGAATTCTAACTGTGCGTTTTTCGTCGAAGGCGTTTTTTGTGACGACGACGTCTCTGTCCAGAATTCTAAGCCAACGATTTTGAGTCATTTCGGCCTTTATTCTTCATAGACTCCGTCCTTAGTCTCTAACATTCCCTACTAGCGTAGCTTGCACAGGTTCGACCACCGGGGTTGCGTCTCTATCATTCACGCTCGACTCTAGGGCGTCCAGCTATTTCTTTCGCGACCGCACAGACCTGACACCACTACGCACTCCTGTCTCTATCGCCCGAGATCACTCCACAGCAGGACCAATGGTTGCTCGCAGCACCACTACCCTCCCGTATCCGGCGGCTCCCTCTGGGTTCCTCATAGGTTACTACACCCCCTCGTTCTCCAGGAACTTGGTGGGTGTCAGCCACCTCCACGACCTCGGAGTAGTCACCGCTTTCCCTCTGGTCGAGCTAGTTGCCCCTGCATAGTCGGTGTCACTTGGGCACCTCTGGCCACTTTCCACAGGGAGCCAGGCTCTGGTCTGCACTCATTACACACGGGGTCTCACCACTCAGGTCAGGTTAGGTCAGGTCAGATTGCTGCTCTGTCGTGCGACTGCCGGTCACTCTCCCACCCGTCGGTCCTCTGGCACCACCGTCTAGGTTACCTGTCCTTCCCGCGTCGCAGTAGGATGGTACGTCGCGCTGCCCCTCATTCCTCGTTCCCTTCCACCGCGGCTCCCTTACAGACCCTGCACCTGGACGTCTGGGACCCCTCCCCGGTCCTTGGCTACATTAGGGGCGCTACTTCTTGATTGTGGTGGATGACTACTCCCGCTACACCACGGTTTTTACCTTGCGACGGAAGGCCGGCGTGCCTACCGTCCTCAAGACGTGGCTACTAGCGAGGGGTGGAGCCCAGGACCTAGGGCTCCGCCTACACTCGAACCATGGTGGTGAGTTTTCTTCCACTCGCCTGGAGACTTTCTGTGAGGGTCGGGGGATTATCCAGTCTTCCACGCTACTAGACTCGCAGCAGCAGAACGGGGTAGCCAAACGACGAATCGGCCTGGTCATTGAGGTTGCCCGGACCTCCATGTGCCATGCCAGTGCCCCCCAGTTCCTGTGGCCTCAGGCACACCGCTACGCCGCACACCAGCTGAACTTGTGGTCTAGTGACGTACGGGCACGGGTGACGCCGGTCTCCCTTTGGACAGGTTCCCCGAGCGTAGCAGCTGATGTCCGAGTCTGGGGTTCTCTGGCTCAAGTTCGCGCCCCTGGTGCGAACAAGCTGTCTCTGCACACTCGTGCCTGTGTCTTTCTTGGCCTCCCTTTGGACGCCTCCGGCTGGGTGTTCTACGACCCGGTCACCTACCAGTTCTTCGCTCCTCGGACGGCACGTTCGACGAGTATGTCTGTTACCACAGGAGTCGCCCCCACCGAGGTACTGAGGTCTTTTCCCCCCCGCTGTTCCTCACCCTTGAGCCTCCCCCAGTCGCCCCGGTTGCGCCCCCCACCCCCCCTCCCCCCCTTCGCGTCGTGCCCTGTCAGGTGTGTCGCACGTACCGGAAGTGGAAAGTACCGGAGAACGTGAAGGAGTTGCAGCAGTTCCTAGGCTTCGCCAACTACTACAACAGGTTCGTGATGCAGTACGCTAAGATAGCAGCGCCAATAACCAACCTACTGAAAAAGAATACGCCCTACAAATGGAATACTTCTCATCAGCAAGCCATGGAGCAACTACAGGCAGCACTGACCACAACGCCAGTACTCATCCTACCGGAGCCAGACAAGGACTACGTTGTGGAAGCAGACGCTAGTGACTAGGCAGTCGGATCAGTACTGATGCAGGATCACGGACACGGTCTGCAGCCCATCGCCTACCTCAGTAAGAAGCTACACGGAGCAGAATTGAACTACCCCATCCATGACAAGGAAGCCTTAGCGATAGTCATAGCCTTCAAGGCGTGGAGGTGTTACCTAGAGGGAGCCAAGACCACAGTCTATACTGACCACTACAGTCTCAGATACCTGAAGTCACAGTCGACGCTCTCACGACGACTGGTGCAGTGGGTGGACCTTTTGGAAACTCACTTCCACTACGACATCGTTTACAAGCCCAGGCTTCACAAAAAAAGCAGATGCGTTGAGCCGCCCCGGTCATGTAGCAGACATCCAGCTTAACGAGATGAACCCTCTACTCAAGGGTCTATTCCAACATGGGTACTCCGCGGATGCAGAAATTGCAACGGCACAAAACCAGAAGTTGTTAAAGAGGGAGAAAGACCTAACTGTAAGGAAGATTTGGGTACCGAGCTATGCCCCGCTTCGAGAGATTCTACTGGAGGAGTTTCACGACGTACAGTACACGGGACATTTCGAGAGAAACAAGACGTTAGCAGGGATAGCGAAGTATTACCACTGGCCCGGGATGGCAGCAGACGTGTAGCAGTTCGTCACCTCATGCGACACATGTCAGCGGATGAAGAGTAGCAAGCAAAAAAAACAGGGTTACTTCAGCCTCTACCCGTACCGAAGCAGCCATGGCAGGTCGTTAGCCTCGACTTTATCACGGGAATTCCTTCTTTCGATCTCACAAGGGCATGACGCTATACTCATGGTGATCGACAAGTTGTCTAAGATGGGTTACGACCAACGCCACGGCTACAGCTGAAGCAACTGCTCGCCTCTTCTTCGACCGCATCATCACCATCCACGGCATCCCCGCTACACTCATCTCAGTCAGAGACCCAAAGTTGACTAGTAAGTTATGGAGATAATTCATGGGTTTGTTGGGGACAAAGCTTGCAATGTCTTCAACATACCACCCCCAGACTGACGGACAGACTGAGCGACTCAATCAGGTGGTTGAACAGTTATTGCGCACCGCTTTCAAAGACGACGTCAGCCACTGGGATTCACATTTACCGACACTTGAGTTCGCTTACAACAACGCGTCACATGCGGCCACAGTGAAATCTCCTTTCTTCCTGTGTTACAGACGGGAAACACTTGCACCATAGCAGCCAACCACGTAGGTGGGGATGGAAGAGGAGGCGTGGCAGTGGGCGGGTCAGGCAGTGTGAGGGAGCTCATCAGCAGCATGCCACGGCTGCAGCATCTCATAGTGAGCCCTGCAGCATCTCATAGTGTGCCGGGTAGCATTCATCAATCAAGGGCCTGTGCTGCACGTTGGGAGCTCCCTCTCACTAGCTCACATAATTCCCTTCCACTTCCTCTCCCTCTGCCCCTCTCCTTTCTTCCCGCCACTCTCCATTTTCTTTGCCCCCCTCCCTCCTTCCTCTCCGCCCCTCTCCTATCTCTCCGCCCCTCTTCTTCCTCTCCGCCCCTCTCCTTACTCTCCGCCCTTCTCCTTAGTCACCGCCCCTCTCCTTACTCACCGCCCCTCTCCTTACTCACCGCCCCTCTCCTGTCTCTTCCTCCCTCTCCTCTCTCTCCCCCCCTCTCCTCGCTCTCCCCCCCTCTCCTCTCTCTCCCCCCCTCTCATTTCTCTTCCCCCTTCTCCTTCTCCTTTCCCACTGCCCCTCTCCACAGGTCCCAGAGGCCCTCCACGCCCACCTCGTAGCAAGCCTCCCGGCATCCATCGCTGTGCACCTTCTCAGCACCGCCAGCTGCCACCATCCCCATTAAGCACCATGCGCTCATCACGCTCACTGCCATCCGTCTTGGAACCCACTGGGGCGATCCCTGGCACATCTGCACTGCTGTCTCCTTCGGCCAGGGTCGGCCAAGTGACGTTGCACACGACGGATGAAGTTACGATATGCGCCAAGGCTTCATTTGTAGCATGCCAGTGTTCTGAGCCTTGGGGGGCTTTTTTATGTGGTGTTATCCAGTGCCTTGCATTGCACCCCACCTCCCTGCACCACCGCAACTTCTGGTACCGGTAGGTTTCTCTCAAAATTCTTTGATTGGGAAGCAGGTGGGTCACTTATACAGAACCAGCTAAGAAGATTACAACAATTGACCCACCCTGACAGTTTATTGCCATCCAGATGTTGCCTCAATCCTACGACCCAACTAAAGTAATGCACCAATAACAAGCCATGGCCCGGGTGATCACAGGTTAGCAACAGAGGCGGTGATACTTCCGCGCAGCGTGACGCCGTTGACAGTGATGGTGGAGTAGAAGGCGGTGGGATTCGAGAAGAACCCCGCATTCACCAGCGCCTTGGGCCTGTTCACCGGCCTGAACGGCACGGTGATGTTGGCGAGAGAACTGGCGGTGCAAAGGTAGATGCCGAGCACGGTGATGGGCTTGGGCATGCATGCAAACGTTGCCACGAGCTGGCCCGCGTTGGTGTGGTAGGAGGAGTTGGAGAAGACTGGCGCTGGGCTGCTCGGCACGTTTGTCACGGTGAAGATGAAGAGTGCCCTTTGCTGCGCCGATGTGCTGTGATTGGGTGGAGTGAGTCGCAGGGGTGAGACGGAGCAAAGGAACGGATTTGTGTCCACATTTTTGTGTATGGAGCACATTGGAGAATCGAGTTCATTTAAGGTGAGGAACGTGTGGGAACTGGAATGAGCAACATCTGCGCAGAGGTTGTGACCACCATGTGATTAGAAGGGGAACGAGTGACTTGCACTCACATGTTAACGTCCACGTTGAAGTTGGCGCTCATTTTGGTTCGTGACCTGAGCACTGACGAAGCTCGGTCTGCAGCGCGCAGACGAGGACTCACGCCACGGCCACACGCGGCAGGCAAGAGGACACGCGGCAGGCAGAAGAGGACACACATGCCGCCCAGAAGAGGACACGCGGCAGGCAGAAGAGGACACACATGCCGCCCAGAAGAGGACACGCACCGCGCAGAAGAGGACACACATGCCGCGCAGAAAGAGGACACAGTAGAGATTTTCTTATGCAGCAGGAACAGTAAAAGCAGGCAGCGAATGGCATGCAGTAGAAGTAGAGCCAGTCTGCAACCTACGCAGGACGACTTAAACCTCATGAAATTCAGCAGCAGCAGCAGCAGCAGCTGATTAGCCGCTTCAATGAAGTGCTGGTTCCTATAAAAAAACTTTAGAGTTGACATTTTAGGAGATGGAAATTCCGATTATCCAGAGCAGCTTTTAGCCAGTTTTGAAGTGGCACGAGGTGTCTGGGGTTGATGCATGTGCATGTGCATGTGCCTATGCGTGTGCATGTGCATGTGCGTGTGCATGTGCGTGTGCATGTGCATGTGCGTGTGCATGTGCATGTGCATGTGCGTGTGCGTGTGCATGTGCGTGTGCATGTGCGTGTGCATGTGCGTGTGCATGTGCGTGTGGATGTGCGTGTGCATGTGCGTGTGCATGTGCGTGTGCATGTACATGTGCGTGCGCATGTGCCTAAGCTGTGCCTGTGCATGTAGAGGTGCGGCATGTGATTTGCATGTGCATGTGCATGTGCGTGTGCATGTGCATGTGCGTGTGCATGTGTGTGTGTGTATGTTCATGCACTCACATCTGATCGGGGCATTCAGATCTACAGACTCGTTGGTACTCCCAGTGGTGCTCCCAGTGGTGCTGCTCCCAGTGGTGCTGCCGCCGCTTATGCTCGATCCGCTGTCACGGTTCGACACAAGGATGGAGCCCCCAGTGTCCCCCGCGCTCACACTGCTGGAGCTGGAGCTGCTGCCAGTGTTTACAATAAGTTCGGAGCTGGAGCTGCTGCCTCTGTTTACAATAAGTTCGGGCTCGGAATTGTTTACAGCTTCAATAAGTTCGAGCTCGGGATTCTCTACAGCTACAATAAGTTCGGGTTCCGTGCTGCCGCCGCTCATGCTCCCGCCGCTCGTGCTGCCACTGTCGCCGCCACTCGTGCTGCCACTGCTACCGCCGCTCGTGCTGCCACTGTCGCCGCCGCTCGTGCTGCCACTGCTACCACCGCTCGTGCTGCCGCTGACCGTTCCAGTCAGGAGGCCGTCGCTCGCATCCAGCAGCTCTCGCCGCGCGCCGCCACGCGCTGCGCAGCAGAGGGAGAGCGAGAGCAGTGCTGCCAAGGAGGGGTGTGCAGGAAACAGTGTAGCGAGGCATGGGGAAGAGTGGCGAATCATGGAGGAAACAGCGTAGCGAAGCATGGGGGAAACAGGTATCCGCGGTCAGGAAGATTGCGGCTTGGAAGTCGACAGGCTTGTGCGGAGAGGTGGGGAGGCAAACGGGGGAGGGGAAGTGCGGAGGCGATGGCAGGCCGTGTGGGGTTGTCGATGGCTATGATTGTGCACACCCGCCGCGCGCGGCGATGCCTCCGCGGACGACTCGAGGCGAAATTCCAGGGAGACGACGCGAGAGCGACGAGGCGAACTGGCACGGCGACGAGGCGACGACAAGGCGACAAGACGACATGACAGGCGACATGCAGGACGACGAGACAACATTCGCAACGACGAGACAACATTCGCAACGACGAGGAGACATGGCAAAACGACGGCCCCGGGGGCGACGTCCCAAAAAAATGAGGCATCCAAACGTTTTTTTTCTAAGGGTTTGCATAGGTTTCTACGTGCCAAAATAGATGGGGGAAACTTCAGGCATACCAAGTGGATTGCTCGCACGGCAAATCTTTCCGCATAGTTTCGGACAAGAAACCTGCAGATGACCGCCCCTTTTACACGTGTTTCAAGCCGAGGAATCGAGCAAAGGCGATTCGCTATAAAATCCTCCGACACCTCACAAATAAATATGGTATTTGCTCAAACCATATTAGTGTTTTTGCGTGCCTGCTAGAATATGGCACCACGAGTGAACCTCATCCACGTGGGTTGGAGAACAGGAACATGTGACGCGTCAGCTCCTGTTGGTGGAAACTCAATCGAGTTCTTTCCAACACGAATCAAACACGTGCGCCGCAGTCCATCCGAGAATTGGTGGAAACGAATCCACCAATAGCCCCTGTTGGTGGAAACTCAATCCACCAACGCGCAAGCTGGCGGAAGCGAGCCAGTCATTGAGCGACAACCAGCTAATGTTGGTACAGCCTGGCAAAGGTATCGAGTCCGTTCATCCAACCTCGATTCCAACCCAACACCCCGTGCATCCTTTCAGCGGCCCATACAACTACTCAGTCAGACCTCTTTTTTTTCCTTCCAGGTTCAGTTTCTGCTTCTGCTCAGTTTCTCAGTACTTACCCGTTTTTCCATCGTAGCTTCTTCTTTGCCGCGAAATCTGGCCTGCTTCCGCCATGTTTCTTCTCTAACACTCCATACGTAATTCTTCCTCCCCCCTCCTCCCTCCAGATGGTTGTCAGTCCGCTGTTGGCGCGGGCGAAAAGCATGCACACATCGTTGCGGGCTCCCTCTTCATAAGCTGTACGTGTTTATTTAAGCTTTGCAAAGCTGCCTAACCCTCACCTTTGTCAGTGTTGACTCAGAATAATGTGCAGAAACCTGTAGCCTCGGCACTTTGTGTAGGCGCCCATGCTAATCGCGCCGATGGCCTATTCCAATAGCTCCTTGTTCTACGCCTGCCGTGACGTTTTCCGTCGTTTTAGTTGTCGTCTATTCTAATCTCGTTTTTCAAATTGTCCGTGTTCTGACATTTCACTGTCTTGCTGCGCGCCTTTGATCGATTTTAGGTTCTGCGGCACACGAGGTTATATGTTTCTGTGTTGTGTGCTCGTATATGCAGGTCACCTTTGTGCTTTGCATTGTCGGTCGCTCAAGCGATCCCTTTATGTGGTAATGTTGTGTCTTACCATTGTGCTTTGCTTTGTCTACATAATTATTACAGTAATTAATAAAATAGGGTTACGGTATTGCTAACCTAGAAACATGGTTTCACATCGTGTTTGGAAGTCCGAACATCACCCCTAGTGAAAATAATAATAATGTCGGCTGTTTTTTGTGTATTTATATATTGAAAACTGTTGTTAGAAAAGTCAAGTATTGCACTCTGGTTTATTACGTTTATACGCGTCCGACCGTTATATTGTGTTTATATCTTTACAATCGCTATAATCACAATTACTTTCTCCTGTATGTTCTAGAGTCTGCTATTAAAATGTAACACCAAAATGGTGTAGAACGTCTTGTACCTTTATCGAGTCCAGCGGGAGGGACACTTTTTTTTTTTCCGGAAACAATCGTCTGGCATTGTTTAGGTTTACCATGCGCAAAGTTTGAGGACTCCTCCCATTCTTTCCTCAACCCATCTTCGAGCATTGCTGCCCCTTTCGCATGAAATGCTCATGGTAGTCATCATTCAATGTTCCTCAGAGATGGATTGTTGAGTCATTCGACATTGTATGATGATTGTTTTTGGGATATTTTTTTTGGGAAGGATGGCAGAACGACGAGGCGATGGCAGGGGCGTCGTGTGACATGTCCGGGCGATACGAAAGGGCAACGAGGCGGTGGGCTCACCAGCGATGACGACGGCGAGGCGCTTAACGTCGAGCGACGGCGAGCGAGAGAGTGACGTCATCCGGGCCATTTGGAACCGCGTGACAAGACGGGGTTGCGAAGTCGAATTTGAGGCGATCCAAGGAAACGTGAATCGAGTGAATGATAATGCGTGTCTAAATGGCTGCGAACAGAGTGAAGACAGCAGATGCGTTTGATGCTCATGGAATGGAGGGCGCAGGTGGATCGTGCTGCGCCATGCGAGTTCCTCCCCTTGCTTTCGCTGCGGCATTCGCGATTTCAAAAGCTCCTGGCGGTATGCGCTGCATTTTTTCGCGAAATTAGTCACAGAATCTCATTGGATAATTCTACCAAACGCAACTGGTTTCTTGCCAGCGTGGAAGCCACACGACGGAACACGACTCAACAGAGTCTGCTGCACTCAACCCGTTTGCTCCGTTAGCAACGGCGAAATGTTTGGCGGTGCCTGCCTGCGAGCCGCATCCGAAAACCTGCTGGTCACCTGGCGCCTTGATGAAGGTGCCCGTGAGTCGCGCCGTGATTGTGCAGATATGGAGGGTGTAGCATCCTCCCTTTTAGCATCATTTCCACAACCACGCACAGTTTCATTCATCAAAAGCCAATTTTGGCCCACTGTAAACAAAACAGCATTTCCATAAAGGATGTTACTAATAGTGAAATGAGAAAGGCAATGTGCACTCCCAACCGCAGCAAGTGAAGCGCACAATATCGAGACTGAATGTGAAGAGGCAGAATGACGCGAAGGGACACGTACGGTTACGGAGGATCTGGACCGTCAGGGCAGACGGCATCAAGCAGCAGTATTGGCAAGGATTCTGCCCAAACGGTTTCGTAACTGCCTGGTGTCGCATGGTTGGATTTCGCTGTAATAAGGGAATGTACCTCATAGAGTACAAGGCTAGTTAGGTCGTTTCGTATTCTACTTGTACTCTTATTTATATGCATGCGTTCGCACGTTTTTATCCTATCTTAGGGAACGTTCCTGTGGAGACACTTGTGTCTCAACCCCCGTTTTCCCGAGTCGCGCCTGTAAATTTGCCAAATGTTGTGTCACAAACAACCAATGAATCGCGACTCCGAGCGACAGATGGGCACGGCCAGGTGGGCGCTTTCTATTGGTGGCGACCACTTGGATTGGACCCGCGGCAGTTTTCCCGCCGGACATCCCAGTCTAAAAAACGGGGTGTTGGAGGTCGGGCAGGGATGCGACCACACGGTCGCATCCACCAGTCATCTCTCTGCACGGGCAGAGCAGTTTC